GCGTGATTCTTTGCTCTTGCGAGCAATACTCTTCGCTCTTGCGCGCGACTTTCCACTCTTATGTGCGTGACTTTTCGCTCTTGTGAGCGTAAGTCTTCCCTCTTAAGCGCGACTTTTCACTCTTGTGTGCGTGACTTTTCGCTCTTGTGAGCGTAAGTCTTCCCTCTTAAGCGCGACTTTTCACTCTTGTGTGCGTGACTTTTCGCTCTTGTGAGCGCGACTTTTCCCTCTTGTGAGCGTGACTCTTCGCTCGTGTGCACTTGACTATTCACTCGTGCGTGTGTGTGCGTGTATGTGCGTGTGTGTGACTTTTCACATGTGTGTACGACTTTTTCTGGCACATGTGCGAGTTTTCGCTCGTGTGTGTCGGACTGACTTATCCCTGCTGAGTTTAACAGAATAATATTCAATTTCAACCCATAGAAAACATGCCGAGGACACTTCTTTTCTTATATTTTCTGGCTTCTTTCACCCCCTTCGTGATGGCTGGTACTCGATGCCAGACAGAAGTTAGTATTCCTGGTATGGCTCTCGATGGTTTCGTATTCAAAAGGATAGCAGTAACAGACCCATATCAGTGTGATGTCCATTGCGAAAGAGAAGTCACATGTCAAAGCTATAACTACGTCATAGGGGAGAAAATCTGCGAATTGAATAACCGTACTAAGGAGGCGAGGCCACAAAATTTCCGCTCTGACCCAGTTCGGTTTTATATGCGACGTTTTATCGGCAGAGGTATGTGATCAGTTAAAGTTGCTCGTTACAGTTAAAAAATAATTCGGTACCTTGTTCTTTTGCCAATCAGCACAGAAGTATCGTGGATAATAAGGATGTAGTAAAGAGATCGGACTTTTCTAAGTTGAAGACTGAACGCTGAGCAAACCATTGCGACGAAATGTCTTCTCAAAGACGCCCTTAAATTTTCAGTTCCTCTGGGTTCCATTCCTGAATTACCAGCGGTTTCTTGCCAAGAAATACAGGCGAGTGAGGGCAAATACACCATCAGCAACAAGTACTGGTTGGAGACAAATTGCACAGAAAAGGTACAATTGGTTGGTTGCAGTGACTCAGTGAAAGGTGAATTTTAGGTTATCTTGCCTCTGTTATATTCCATTATTTCTCATTTATACTTAAACCATTTATTTGATGCTCAAGGTTGAGAGAAAATGAAGAGACCGCGGAGGAAGCTTCATTTTCACTTTATTGTGACGACACCTTTCTTCTCTTCCATGATGCTTGCAATATTTTTGAAGCCTTACTGTTGGTTTTGTGACGTCACTGTGGCGATTCAGATGACGATGCCTTTAACGAGAAGGATGACGATGAAAACAAACAAAAATAGAACATACAAGGACCCCAATGATTAATCAATTTATCAAATTACATGATGCTTTACAATAACTCATGATAAGATTTACTTGTATTATGCAACTGTACGGATACTTTCACAGGCATTAATTGTTCAGATCCAAAACCTGTGGAGCAGAACAAGGACGACGACGCGACGCGTGAGTATTGTCGACTTTATTTTTCCCCTTCACTTTTGACCACAGCAAGGAATTCTTAGAACTTAGGCAGGTTGTCATTCATTACAGCGGGCGGGGGAGGGGGGGAAGAAAGAAGACCTGCTGGTAAAAACGAGTAGACCAATTCACTACTGATTATACTAAATTTTCGTATAATTTAAGCGAATCAAATTAAATCTTCAAAAAGGACTGCTGAAAACAAGCCAGGTAGCAATGAGCGTGGCGAAAATCTTTCCAATTTTATTGTAACAGTTGTACATGTTTTCTATTTGTAGCAACTGTTGCGAGTCTTGACAGGGGCAATGGACAACCCCAAGATGCAAATGACTATGACTTTGAGCTTGTATTCAGAGAAACTCAACAGACGAGCTATGTGAAACACGATATGAATAAGA